AGAATCCAGAAAGAAATTGAAAACAAATTAATATTTTATGAAAAACGGCTCAAATGAATAACACAATTCAAAAATATGTAATTTAGAAAGGCAGTCCGAACCTAACAACTTAATTAATATTTTAGGGAGATCTTAAAGACGATTAGTCATAGTGTAATATAGGACTACATACAGACGATTTATGTGTTATTGCGACACATCACTATATATTACTAGATCAATATCTCACTCAAGTATGCCATACACATAAATTTTCGTATAACGATATATAATGTTTTAATTAAACGTCTAAGTCCAATTTTAAGAACTTCACGTTGTTACTTCGTGTAAGCTACTGGTTTGTGGATTATTATTTCGAAAGTACAGATTGCACAGCTTATATACGAAGCAAATGTTGTCGTGACAACTCTAAAGTGCTACGGACTAAGAAATGGTAGACTTCAATTTTGAAATTTTTGAACATTTTTAGCATAAATTCCTCCTCACAGACACATATTAATGCATATACTTTAATCCTAGAAAAGGATTTTCGAAAAAAAAAAAGAAAAAAGTATCATACAAAAATTATAGTCTGTATTGCCGACTAAATATAACTTTAATATAACACACACATAATATATATGTTATATTAAATTATATTTAGTCGGTAATACAGGCAGCTTTAGAATCCCTAATCTTTTATCATATAAATAATAAAAACAAATTTCAAACTAACATCAGAAATGATGTTAAAAAAACCGTCATTAGGTTTGAACAGAACAAAATTAAGTATAGAAAATGTATCTGTCTTTTCATACTATATCTTATTGTTCCCCACTTAATTACATCAATCCTACCACAACGTATAAGTTATTGGTGAAAATTCTTATACATATATGTCACTCGATTGTAAATCGGTAAAAGAGGATGTCACACAAATAAATGTGATCGGAGAATTAGTTTGTTTGCGAAGAATCTAAGGTAATTTTTTACTATATTATATGTACTTTTATAGCTTTAACAATAGAATATTTTACAGTACAATATAATGACACTATCATAGATAGATAGTTTATTATGTATGTGGTCTCTGTAAACCAAGATTTTTGAGTAATGATTCTGCCGTATATTATATGAATAAAAATTTAATATGTGACAAGATAACTGTGTCTAAAAGAACATCAAGATAAGAAGTTTATTCACATCAATAAATAATAAGGAGATTCAACAAATAAGAAAAAGATAATTTAATTTTATGTATTTTAAGAAACAGTAATTCTGTTTACATTTGTTAGAAAAGACCGTTAATAAAGGTCGAAACATTTGAAATTTGTTTTTGTTATTTATATAATAAAATAAATATATTAGAGCGCATATCAACTTATTAGGTTTGAACACAACTCTTCTAAATCATATATCTTGAAATTGAAAATATTTATAAGCACAAGAAATAAAAAAAAATAAAATGAAATGTTAAAAGAAGTAATTAATTAAAGATGTATCTTTTAACAACATGAAAAAATTATAGATTTTTCTATTTGAAAGTAAAATACAAAAAATTTGATGTCGATTTGAGAACCTGAATTTAAAATTATTTAATAAGAAATAGACATGTGATAGAATGAGAAAAATTTTATTTAAACTATAAAATTGTATTGTTAAATATAAATATTATTTTTTATATTGAACTGTTTCATGTGTATATAACATTTATTTGTGTTTGGAAAATATAAATTTATGGAAAAAGAGTCTGTCAGCTATAATATTTAAGAATTCTCTGAAAAAATAAAGTATTCATTTTGGGTTAGCTCTTTAAATAAAACGAAGCTAAACATAAAAAGCAGTGTTAATGACTACATGCTAAAATAAGATATTGTGATCTGCTTGGGGTGATACTTCAAAACGTCACAGGTGTCATTTTCGCGCAAGCCTCTCGTATTTGAAGAGATAATTAGACCATTACTTTGAGATAAGACCGTTATAGACTTGTTAATCGTAATCAGGTGGTGTCTGAAGATGACAGGAAAGATTCTTGTTGATGGGGTACAACCGGTGGATGATGTCACGCGTTGCGTTAAAATTGGATCGAATAATTTTGAAAACTGCGCAGATTCAGAAGTTGAGAATACATTCTTACAAAAATCCAATTTAATGTTAATAAAAACTACTCTTTTTCAGTATTAAAAGCACTAAAGAATAAGTCCTTTTATTACTTAAAAGAAGTAATTAATCACTATTTTTCGGTATTAAATTTCTGTAAGAATTTGCAGTTTGTATACTCTCTAAATCTCGTGGAGTGAAATCTCACTCGAAGAAAGTGACTCAATTTTTAAAAGTCTCTTTGAGTGAGATTTCACTCCATGAGATCTAGAGAGTAATTAATTACAGCGACTTCGGAAGATTCTAAGTCAATTTTAAGCAATCATAAGGCTCGTAATTTGTTCTCGTAAAACTTGTAAGAAATTATGACTGGAATGTTTATAATTGTAGAATGCACTATTTTTATAGATAGCTTTTTGCTAGCCATATAATTTACGAGAAATTGGCTATCGTTCAGCAGAAAAAGCAGCTTTGCAACTGTTGCAAAATTCTTTAATATGATAGGTCTTGCCCTTACTTCCTCATTAGATCTAAATGTACAAGTCAATCATATTAAAGAATTTTGCAACAGTTGCAAAGCTGCTTTTTCTGCTGAACGTAGCCATTGTAAGTATTTACGAATACTCATACGTCTTATGGTACACATAAAATTACAATCGTCATACATTCTTAGAAGTCGACTTACAAGAATAAGTTATGAGCCTTACAATCCTGCTTAAAATTAATTCATATATCTTAAAAGTATTATTGAATATTATATTTTATATCTTTTTCTTCTCCGTAAAATCTGAAATAATTCAAGATCGCATCCGATTGACTGTTTAGTCATAAAAAATGATTTAAATTACATTAGACTGACAAACTTGCATGCCAAAAAAATAAGACGCATTTGTTAATTCAAATCCGTTCTCACGATTATACGGTTCTTCCCATGTGTCGAGACCGAGAGTAGGGTAAGAATTGTCAAAAGGAAGCAGGATCGTTCTAATACATGCTTGCGACAAAGCGTGAACGCCATCGGATTATTTTTAGCCAGCAGAATAGGGTCTATCCCCTTCGCCGTGACTAAAAATAGCTGGTAAGACCAATCCAGGCCCAATTATCCCATTTAGATATTTAGGTGACAATCGACTGACCGCCAATTTAGAAATATTCCACTGGACTCGAAGTGCGAATATTCACGCATCACGCACGTTAAAGTTTATGCTTATTTTGAAAAAAAAAAAAAAGAAAACCTTTTTCCATAAAATTAATAAAATCATTAGAAAAACAGTTATTCTTTGTGTATAGATAACTTGAGATAATTTAATTTATTATTCAAACAATAGAGTTAAAAGGCTTTGAATCAAGTTTTAATGCCTCAGGAAAATATTTCATATATAATTATATATGTAGATATATATAAGTAATATATTTTGTATTATGATATTTTTGTAACTTAATTGTTAGTGTTTTTTACTTAACTATTAAACGTAGCTTTACTTAAAGTCTTTTAATTCTATCTTATTTGAATAAAAAGTAAACTAGACTGTAACGTTAACCCAAATAAGCAAAAAGAGAAGCATCAAATACGATTGAGGCTGGATTTTTATGCTTAAAAATATTTTTATGTAATAATAAATCTTAAATATTTAATAGTTTAGTTTTTTCGTTGGAGAATGTATGTATTTAAGTTGAATATAATATGTTTGATTAAATATATTCTTCATAGAAAGAAATAAAGACGAACTAAATTAATTCAATCAAATGAATAATTTTTTTCTTAGTGTACGAATATCTAGATACAATATAATATTATATGTATATTTAAAGAACATTTAATTTAAATATTCCAAAATTAAGAACGTTTGTATTTTATAAGATGTTTATAGAATAGTTTGTACTCTCTCTCTCTCTCTCTCTCTCTCTCTCTCTCTCTCTCTCTCTCTAAGGAAAAAACAAGATCTCGAAATGATTCATTCGTTTGTTGCAAAGTGTAATTAACAATAAATAAATGTTAATATAGTTCATAACATATAAAGCAACATATAGAAATAAAGCTAACAACGAGAAAATTTAAGATGTTATGAGATATCGAGTAATTTATTAATATGACAATTTTTACTAACAAAGCTGATAAAAGAGCATTGTACTCTTACCATCATTATTAGTAAAAATTGCCACATTAATTACTTGACACCTTACAACATTTTTAATTCATTGTTGGTTTTATTTCTGCATAGTAATCAACAATTGTCTATTATATGTATAATGTCTTAGCTTAGGATATATCTAACATTTATACTCTCACAGCATTGCACTTTGTCTAAAGGACGTTCCGTGAATGTCTTGAAGTTTTCTTTGAAGGTCTGTGCTGTATCCTCTAAATTTCCTGAAGTAAATTGTCACTCTAAAAGAGTGAAAATACTGTTTATTGAAAAATTTAACAGTGAAAATATTAATTTACACTCTTAAATAAGACTGACAAAGTTTCACTCTTGCAGTGTGTGATTCCATTCTTTTGGAGTAAAATTTCTTTAAAAGGAGAGAGGTTTTATTCCTTTAGAGTGAATCTCACTTGAAAAACGTGAAATCTCACTCCAAAAAAGAGTAAAAAAACTGCTATTCTTCAATTATATCAGAAGGTTTGCGGGTTATCGCCATGTCTTTCTTCATTATTAATACCAACGTTTCGTGAACCATGCCGTTCATTTCATCAGGGCGAGGGGTGCATTGATACTATCTGCTACTCTTATATTCAAGGGTGTAAATATTTTCACTTTTTTTTTTATCAATATAGTGGCAGTATTTTCACTATTTTGAAATGAGATTTTACTCCAAGAATAGAGTACGAATATGGTTCTCGCGTTAAGTTCTTCGTCTCCTATGGTACGCAACCCGCCTAACGAATGTGTGTGTTGTTTTGCAGGACCGTAGGCAGCATGGGGCAACGCAAATCGGGTGTCCCGGGCGCCGCGGCGCCGATATCGACGGAGGAGGAGCAGCTGAAGTTTCAAGACAGCAGATTTCTGGCGACTTTAGTGCTCGGCAGAAGTAGGTGAGTGACCGAGCGTGACTGACTGACTGGCTGCTTGCCCAGCCTGCCCACCTACCGACGTCTTACTACGTCGCTACGTCAGAAATCGTAAGGCACGTGATCGGTCTGCGCGACCCACATCGGAACCCCGGGATTCGATCGCGCACGGACTGTTGCGAAGTCGAGTGCGAATCTCTTCTGATCGATCGTGACGGGAAATAATTAAAAGAAGTGACCGAGCGCCGCGAGTGCCCGTTTTCGTGATTTCTTTCTTGGCCGAAGCCGTATATTTCTGGTGAACCCCACCGAAGAGTGTGAGTAAACGCCTGTTTACATTTGTAAACAATGAATGTTTGCGGAGATTTGAACTAGTGACGATCCAACACGCGGCGCGTAAACAGCCGTAGCTATCGTTGCGTATCTAGTTATAATGTTGCAAACAAGATTTAAATCCTCGTATGACTTGACGTCGAAAGTAACATCGAAATTAAGATCAGAGATAAATATTTTCTTTTTAAGCGCAAATTAACATTACATCAATATTATGAATTCAACAGTATAAATGTATTATAATATGACATGATGTTTTGGATCGGAACAAAAATTCGTAGCGCTACGAAAACTTCAAAATTCAAATGATTATAACTTTGCTAAAAAGGAATGAAATTTAAATTTAAAGAAACGAATTTTCAAGCTTAGAATCTCTACTTTCAAAGGGTCAGCATGTCTTTTGAGTTTTTGTGAGTTTGGCAATTTTTACATACAGAAAACCACGAGCTGGACAAAGTGAGAAATTTTTATCTCATTACGTAGGCCTGTCACGTGCCCAAAAAATCTGGAAATTTTCCACTTTCGAACGAGAAAGCTTAAAGTTTTCTCTAAAAAGTCGTTTTTAAAAAATGTTCGTAAGATTTTTTAATTATTTCGGTTTAAGTAAGAGAGAGAGAGAGAGAGAGAGAGAGAGAGAGAGAGAGAGAGAAATATTTTGACAGTGATTCCTTTTACAGCAAGCACATGTGATACGCATAACTATATTATATAGTAACTTTCTAATTAATTATCTTAATTTTAGCAATATATTTAACCTCTTCAGATCTGAATTAAATTGAACCATTAAAATATTGTAAAAAAATTTAGTTTAAAAATATTTATTGGAAAAAAAAAATTAGTTTAAAAAAATTTCATTTTTTCAATTTAATATATAAAAGTCCTTTAATAAGTAATTCATATTAAACAATTATTTTTTTTACAAATTTGAATAATTTTTTTCAATGTATACATTATCTTTGATGATATCGATAGAATTAAGTAATTTCAATGGAAAATACTTCCAATTTCGATGTACTACATTGTAATGTGTATAGTATGCATCAAAATAATTAATTAAATAAACATATTAAATGAGGAGTAAACTTTCAAAATAAGTTTTGTCTAAAGTTTATAATTTTCAGAAAACAAGAAAGTTACTACTCGTATCAAATGTACGCGATATAAACTACGATTATTAATAACGCCGTTAAAAATCATTCGTATTAAAATTCAAAAAATACATTCCTAAAACTGAAACTTTACTCCATCAAATGGTATAATTACTAATTTTTTTTAACACGTAGTACAAATGAAATAACATCATCAACTTTTGTTCTGTAATTTTTGTATAACAGATACATTGCTGAATGGGAAATCATAAATCGTAGTTAACTCAGGTAGCAAGATGAGGACACGTAAAATCTCAATAAACAAAACGTCTGTGATGACATTTTGACGTTAAAATTATGACAAATAACGTCAGCTTGCGGGAATGTTACTATTTGTATTTAGCGAGTTGTTATCGGCTGCTCGAAACTTACTATCAGGATATTCATTTTTCGGAATCCGGCCCGCTGCACGGAGGTGGTGGTTTTTAAAAAAAGTGCTGCAGACGAAGTAAACAAAACACTGAATCGAAACGCTTAATGGGTGGTCGGTTTTATATATATATATATGTATATATTTGCGGAGGAGAAGCAGCACACCTGTCGCTTTCGTACGCAATAAAGGTCATCACGGAATCTCGATGCAAATAAAGAGATAAACGATAACATTCCGTAGGTAGGCGTAATTTAATTTAATTTTCTAATCGCGCCCCGCGGAATTCATTAATTGTGAAAAATTGAACGAGAGATATCGTCATATCAATAAAAGTACACGGGATTCTCAACTTGTCGCGTCTGTCGATTAGAGATAATGACAGTTCTAGGTATACAAAGATTAACGCGTTCCAGAAAGAGATGGTCACGAACGGGAAATCACAAAACTCGCATTTGAATTGATATCGTCCTCTTCATGCCGTCCACTTCTGGAATATCGCGACGCCAATGGTGTTGATTTTAACAAATTTATTTTAATTTAATGAATTAATAGTTATTACTTGAACTCATTCAGTTTAATTTTTTTACGTGAAAGTTACATGAAAATGAAAATTTAATAATGCCTATTAATATCTTACATTAAATATAAAAAAACAAGAGGAAAAGAAAAAAATAATTACTGTCTTATCGCTCTTTTGCGACGACATAAGAACAAATTAAATAAGTAAAGTATCCTAAGATCTCTCTCTCGCAAATGTGAATACACAAGAAAAGCGAAAAATACAAAAATATTTGTATTTTTTTTCAATATTTTGAATCATTAAAATTTTTTATAAATAATATAAATCTTAAAATGCAATTTCAGTGTAATAAATTGACTAAAGAATGAAGTCTGTTCTTTTAAAGTGTATCCTTTTTTTCTTCTCTTTATATTTCTGTTCTTTTTCTGCAAACAATTAAAAAAAATGACAATTTTTTTTAGTCAGGTCGTTGTAGCAAGTGAGCGATAATACTGTATGTCGTAACCATTTTCTTACACGGATAATTTTAGTAAAGGCCGATTTCTGGTAATCCGTTGAATGTATATTGCGGATATTTATGATCAGTGGTGGGAGCAGCTTTATCTTTCGGGCCAATTAAAACGATCGGCGTCACTGATTGCCGCTTACACTACTTAACAATTAGAAGCGCCGCATCGCCTCAAGACGATTGTAGCAAGAATATGATGGATGGGTCTACGATTAATTTGTTGTGCATATAGGCTGACTACGCGCGGTTCTTCTTCATCACTCTGTTACTCTGAGAAATGTCAATCGTTTCAATGAATCGAGACACGGGTTAGTTATCGGTGGACACATTCTTTTTTGATGGGACTGCGTCTTGATGTAAGATGAAAGAGCGTGTCTTCATCTTCAAGCACAACCCTCGAGATTTCCTCTTCTTCTTCACTTCTTAAAAATTCACTTCTTAAAAAGAAATGACAATTTTCACTGAAAGCTTACTTTTTTTTTCGAGTGAGATGTCACTTCTTTGCAGTAAAGATTCCCTTTAAAAATAGTGAAAATTGTCACTTTCTATTAAAAAGTGAAATATTTTCAAAAATGGTTGTTTTCACTGTCTTAGAGCGAAATTTCACTGCAAGAAATTTAGAGTGTTACTAGTAACTGCGTTACTTTTTCTTTTTGGTGACTGTAACATATAGAAGTTACATCTTTTTCATAACGGTAACAAATTTTACAGTTACTTTTATCGTTACTTCGCATACGATTGGACATGGTTCGATTGGAATTTTACGGTTCTACGTGATAGATATTATATACATGTATATCGAATATATCTCATATTGTCAGTTTGCCGTATATTTTACAGGTTTTAGAATTATAAAATTATGTTTTTAAGAAAAAACTAAAAAATAAAGCCAGTATCATTATTATACACTGCTCTTATTAATATTTAAACAAAAATATTACAAAATAGTATATTTTTTACTGATTTTTAAAAAGTAACGGAAAAATAACGAAATAAAGTTTCTTTTTCAAGTAAGGGTAACTAGTTTTCTACTCGGTAACGAGTAACTGTAACTTTTACACCGAAATGTTAGCACTATAAGATTAATTCACCGCATAGATAACTTTTCGTTTATTTTCGTATGTAGTATTGTTTAAAAATACGATCCTTTGTAAAGGGTCAAAAATGAAAAAATCTCCACTAGTCTTTTATTATTATACATGTTGTCAAAGACAAAACGGCTTGTTCGTCAAATGATTGAATATAATTGATTGGATTCTCAGGTAAAAAACAATTGCGTTCGATTGCCCAATAAGCAAGCTAGAGATCTGTTGTTATTTGATTTATTTTTTGTAGCTAAATTAATGTTGTACTTAAAATAAAACAGTCTTAAAATAAAACAGTCTGCCTAATTAAAGAGTAATTAAAGAGCATGATAAACGTCTATATGTTCATTAAAAAATTTTTAATATTATAATTATCAAATACATTTATGATCATAATTGTATCTACACGTCATGTCTTTAAAGATACAAAAAATTTTTTGAAAGAATTGTTTATTGTTTAAAAATTGTAAGATTAAATTAATATTGTTCTGATTCGTAGGCCATTTTATTACTAATTTTTTGAAAGATAAAAAATATGATAATTCTTTCATCCTGTTGCATCGTAGGGGGAAAGTCTTCTACCTGCTCGTTCAAAACAGTTTTTAATGTATTATAACAATTCTTAAACAGAAGTTTATTCGGTCACGCTTTTATTAGATTTTTATAATATCTGAGAAAATTATAGTGCAGTCTAGTTCAGTGACAAAGATCTTCCTTTTTTACTCTCATCAAATCTTAAGTACAAATGTATCTGAGTGTATATCCTGATTTAAAGAGAACAAATCTAAGTAATCTAACAATTAGTCTGCTGACTTCAAACGTCTGGTCGTGCCCATTGAACTTCGTCAATGTTGAATCATTTAAAAACTAATTCGAAGATAGATCAACAACTCTGAATTACTTTTTAAAAGATTGAATTATGACTAACAGCAATTTCATAACGATGTGAATAAAGAACTTTATTCTTTATTTCAATATACCGATTTTCTCTTGAGCGTCATTATTACGATAATTTTCGATTTTCTGTAAAGAAAAATATTGTATATACGAGTACATAATAAAACGACAAAAAGACATAACTTGTTACCAGAGAAATAGACATAAATGGAAAGGATCCAATAAAATCGAGTCTAGAAGGCTCAGCTGATAGTCGAATTCGCATACTCCTCAGTTGATTTTTACATTGCTTTGTTTCACATCTAATTTAATTTGTTTTAATTAGTTTAATAATTAATCTGTTTTAATTAGTGATAGGTAATTCGACAATAGTACTGAATCACAGTTTCTTTTATTTCTATATTTCAATACGTTTTTATCCATTAATTACACATTTAATTGTACTGCAATTATGCTTTCTACGATATTTATTGTACGATTATTAATGTTGGTTATGTCATTGTGAGGTAAATTCCTTATGACTTTGGTATTAATTTCTCTCTCAGTTATTAACATTATACATTTCAAAGATTCCTATAATCATTCTCTACCATCCAACTTTTCAATAAGAGTTTATTCTATAATGGAAGAACAGTTATCGCCTTACAATAATGTTGACCGGACATCAATTTACTGCTTTAAATTTTTTTTATGATTTGGACTGCGACTAATAGACATTAACGTACTATACTAATTGTGGCTTTTGCTGAAGAAGGTTAAAAGATTAGTCGAAACATGTACAAATAATTTTTTTTATTTCAGATATAAAATATTTCTTTTTAATTTCAAATTTCTATCTCTAGTTTACCAAGCAATAATAAAAGGAAGAAAGGTCAATTATAAGAGCAAAAAATTATATCACAATTTAAAACTAATAAGTTCACGATGTTATTAGCATTTTTACGATATAAAAATTGAGAAGGGAATGTTTTGTTTTAGTCATCATCAGCTCCAAAAAATAATAATGAAAGTTAAAATTCACATGATGAAACATTCGAAAAAATTATATTATTAAATATGAAACCACATGACGAGTTGGAATAAAGTTACAAATAAAATCAAATTAAACATATCGTTGAAAAAGTGAACATTCTTCAAGTCGTATAAATAAATTATGTACTGTTTCTTCGTTCAGAGGCGAGAAGAAGTAAAGTCGGGTGATAAATTTCATTGTATATTATAAATAATGTGTAACATCCATATGAATTTTAGTCATTCAGCACAGTTTCGAAAAAATAAAACAATCAATAAAATAATTTAGTAGTTAAACAAATTGCTAAATTAGAAAGAGATATTCACACAGAGATATTTCAGATTTATTGAAATAAATTTTCTTTGTTACTGTTAAATTAAAAAAAAAAAAAAAAAAAAAAAAACAAACTGCGCACCGTCTGCAGCGCTAATTCCCAGTTGCTCGTTTCTCTTTTGTTTATTTTTTGAATTCGCAGAAATTGTTTTTCCAATTTAATTGCGTAAATCTCCTTCCAGAAGGATCTCGCCAGACGTGCTGCCATCGTGCTCGCCCGGCGTGTTTCGCCAGAAGTCATTTCGCTCGTCCACGACGCCGCCATCGAAGGTGCCGGCGGTAACATCTTTGTCGCCAACCACCCGAAACAGCCGAGGCGCACCCGCTTCCGCGACCAACGATCGCTGCGCTTCTCGCACAGCCGCCACCACCCCCACTGTCCCCGGCCCGACCGCCGCGGCCGTTTCGCCACGTGACGGCAGCTCGCGGACCGTCGTTAGCACCGCTTCGTTGTCGTCGTCGCGGGGCGCTCGAACAGCCAGCAAGCACGCGCGCCTCGGTACGGCACTGGCCAGCAAAATGGCGACCGCGAGCACGTCCACGGTTGTGCAGGGCTGGCCGAATACCAAGGATGATTACGAGCTCAAGGAGGTTATCGGTGAGTACCGATCGCCGCCGTGCGGGACTCGTCAGGTCGACGTGACGATCGCATGGTGCGAACACGCGGAAGATTGTGCGCGCGCGCGCGCGCATCCTGCCCGAACATCGTCCGCGGCCACGGAGAACGCGCGCCACCGCCGTCGCCGGCATCGAACGGCTGGTGGCCGTCCTCCTGATAACGAGGTGCCACCGAACGGCGAGGATAATAATATCACGATGATGTCGGCGAAGCGAGAATTGCCGTTTCCGCGCATCCTGTCGCTCATCGGTCGAGCGTGACTCGAGCGTTCCGCGTCGTTCTACTTTCCCCGCTTCAAAACGACACGACAGTTCGACAATCGCGGTTTTCGCTCCCGCTTCTCGTGTCCTTCTCGCACTCACGCTGTCACGCGGCTGTCAATGTTACTACACGAGAGAGCAGCAGCACAGCCTATCCTAACCTAGTTAACCTACCGCCGCGGAACAGAACGGTTGCGACGGTTCGCGCGGTGCCAGTGCCGGAGGCACTCACTTAGATTCAGGGGGGAAGGGGACAATAGGGCGCTACACGAGCAAAGTTGTATGCGAAGTAATTTGCGTGGTGTGTACAGAGTTCAAGATTTTCCACTATAAAAGTGGAAAAGAAAAGAATGAATGATGTTTTGGCCATCTTTCGATTCACGCCGCTGTAATCTCATTCTGACAATCAATTGTTAATCTCGTTTTTTCGCTCATTTGCTACACATTCAACAGAACTCAACGGAATTTTCCAAAAAAATGAGTTTGAATGTTTTAAATCCTTACAATTTTGTATTATAATTTTTAAATGCAATTTTGATACAGTAATTGATTGCATCAAATTGTAGAGTGTAAATAAAAGTATGTACGTTTAAAATTATTTATGCTTTAAATTATTTTTTTTTCTTTATGTTCTTTTTGTAAGTAACTAAAAAATGATTGTGTATTTAGCAGAGAAAGCAGCTTTGCAACTTTTTATTATGTGTGAATTACAATTTTTTGTACAATTAATTTTTGCTTTTAATTCCTTATGCATCTAAATGTATAAACCAATCATATTGAAAAAAATTTATAACAGTTGCGAAGCTGTTTTTTCTGTTAAATATAGCCAATAACAGAATTGTTGAGTTACAGAATAAATGGTCCATTTATTGATACAATAAGAGATTTTGAAACTTTAATTAAGTATATATATCTATAGCTGATGACACTTTAATTGATTAAAGATTGATTTTTACTTTTTCCTGTAGCTTTATTTAACAAAAAGTTATTAATAAAATTTTATAATTTAAAAAATTATCTCAAATATAATTTATTTTTTATTAAATTAAATAATTGCTGAGATCACTGTTCTTAAGATCGGTATCAGATTACACATTGAGATTAAGATTGAAAGATTGTAATTTGATTAATCAAAACAAAAAAAGCTAACATTTCTTTGTCCCCATTGGTCAAATTTCAATCTTCAACCTCAATCTTGAATCTCAGTCTTCAATGCATAGCCTGTTTCTGTCAGTTAACACTGACAATTCTAACATTCCTTTGCCTTTAATTCTGACAATCAGTAGTAGTCATATCATTGACAGTTTTCATCTCTGACAGATATTAATCTAAATTAAAGTTAACGTCATAAAAACTTACATATAACAAAAACGACTCAATAAATATTAAATTAAAAATAAACTCAAATCTTTCTATTTTATCCAATTATAAGAGAAAAATAAATACATCACAAACTAATTAAAATTGCTAATAAGAGCCACTGCAATTAAATGTCGAGATATTAACAAATTTTTAAACGGTACTCATGTTTATAATCTTGGCAATGGGCATATTCCCCTCTATGAAATTAGGGAATCTTATGAAGTTAGAGATAAAATTGAAATATATGGTGCAATCAAATATTTTATTATAAAGTGTTTTACATTTACAGATTGGTTCTTAAGTAATAAAATCTAAAGATGCTAATATGGCTCTGTGATTTGTGCGTGTCTCTATCCGTTGCTCGGCGTCCTTTCCCTCTTGCCTCTCCAATACACAGCCAATGTTTGATAAACTAGACCGGGCTATACCTCGAGCGGAGTGTTTCTATCGGTGTACTCTTTTGGTACAATTGCAAAAATTAATATCTCGATTATTATCGCTAAACGGTATAGGTTTGTGTTTATTTTGGGCCCCACCTAGCTTTCTGTGCGAGATTGGAAAAGTTTCGCGGAGCACCCTGTATATATACATGAGGTGATTCATACTTATATAGCTCCCGGAGAAGCCGGAATGTACGTATTTTTCATGAAAAACTGAGTCGAATATGTTACTAAAGAAAGAGCAAAATGATGGAGGGGTCAATAGTTTTTGTGGTGAGCGTTTGAAACCGTCCAACCACAGCGTGTAAAGTTCGCGCCATCAGGCGCGGCGCAACCAATATGTACATAATAAAAGACTTCTAAAGAAAATAATAAGTAAAATTAAATATATTACTTATAATATTTATTTATATATTAAAAAAAAACATTTTTAAATTGAATTGCCAGTGTCTGGGACACTATTAATCAGTTGTTACTTTTAAACGCATATATAAGCATTAAGATTGGCAATATTTGATATTTTTATAAACATAAATTAAGTAATAAAAATATTTTCGATCTATCTTCATATATATGTAAATCAAACTGCCAAATATTCTCTATTAAGGCTCCTGGGTAGTCGTTACAATCATATTGAATCGTGACGTCAGAAATGACATGTTAAAATTTTTTGCATGCCATTTATAAACAAAGAGAATTTGAATAGAATGAAATGATAAGATCACTTTAAAATATTTGTAAAAATATAACCGAAGCTATCCTTACCCCCTCCTCCTCTCTTGACAGTCAATAAATAGTTAAAAAAGTTCGTAAAGCGAAAATACGCTACGCATGCGCATTGAGTAAAAACTAATAAACACACTTTACATGCCTTTTACTGACTATGTACTGACTATCAGGGGAATGATAATGTCGACTAATTTTGACAAGTGTTTTACCTTTTACAGCGATCTCATTATGTATTTCGTTTTTTATCCAATTCGTCTTTATCTATAAGTGGCATACAAGAAAAACGTGTTACTTATGACGTCACGATTCAATATGACCGAGTACTCGGGAGCCTCAAAACATGTTATTTTTGCTATTTCCTACGTGCGTTTAAAAATAACTGATTTCAACGACTTCTCATAAGACACCTTAATCAGAAAAATATTCTATTGCTAAGAAAAATTATTACTCAATTTGCTTTGTTTTTCTGTTAAGCATCAGTTATATTTAACGAAGAGTATGTTCTTAATAATGATCTTAAAGTATATACTTATATTACAGACTTTTGAAAACTCAAAACAATCTTTTTTTTTTAAAAAAAAATTATAAAATTTTATCAAATAAAAAATTTTATATAATAAACAAGTTTATTTTAATTTAATAAGTTTAATTAAAAGAAGTATTAAACTTACTAGGATTCAGAACAAATTTTGAATAAATTAATGAGTGTACGATGTACTTATTTATGATTTGCAGATATATGAACTTCTGAAATATATTTTGAATTACCTATATTTTAATTCAATATGAAATATATTTTAAACAAGTAATTATTATATATAATATTATTTGCGTATAGTATTTATATTTCTATCTCACATTTAGATATTTTAGAGACGCATAAATATTTAAAAAATCTTCCTGTGAAGAATAGGTTTCCAGCGAGAAATGACTCATTAAATTGATATTGAATCAACATTGATATGAAGATTTCGACATTGTTCGTAAAGATCGTTTTTCATTGGTTTTATTTCGATTATTCGGGATAACAAATGCCTTGCGACGGAACTATGTGCTTATTTTACTAAATTTTGATATAGCAGGATTGATACACTATATCTGTTACTCGCTAATATACATTAATATTTGAAATAATACAGCTTTTTATGTTATTAAATCATTTAAAATTTGGAAGAACTTTACACTTTGTCGTTTAGCCGATTATGTATTCTGTATTATATTTGTAAGAAGACCAGCTGCAAGTTAGTGGAACTAAATTATTTAGCGGCTCGCCAACGCCAATGTCGCGCTGTTTTTAACTACATTTTGCGGCTTGTAGAAAATTCCGATATTTCTGATTAAAATCATAAATTGCCTACGTAACGAATAAAAATATCAAGATCCCTTAAAATTTAAACGTCTCTCTCAGCCACTCTAAAATATATTCGCTACATATATTTATAAATAGATCTGTACAGTTGAATTTCTGAATCTCACTGAGATTTAATTAAAGAAGCATTTCTTCAAATATTATGATTTGTATATCGATAAGCACTAATGACATAGGATCTCACACTAATCATATGAAAAAAATAGTTTTAGTCGAATTGACAAAAATGTTATTTGTGGAATCAAAAGTTTTTTTAGGCAAAACCATCAAAAAATAAAATAGACAGATTTTGCTCTAGCACCATTAAAAAATTCCTATTTTTAGTTTAATCAGTCTGAGAAGAGTTTTCTATTATTTATTTTTTAATTAAACTTGTAAATCTTAATATTTTTGAATTTTGTACATAGAATAATGACATGAATTAATAGACAAAAGATACATACTTTTTAAATCACTATGTTTTCTTTACATTAATTAATTAATCTCTTGGTATTCTATGCATAAAAGTACAATTAATATTTGTTATAAATATTATGGTACAGTTGTCAAAAAAGTGAATAATAGTTTAGTAGATAAAGATACTTTTCAATGCGATTAGATTTAAAAATAGCAATTTTTAAATGACATTACAGCAAAATCTGATTATTTTTTTATGGTTTTATCTAAAAAAAAAAAAAAAATACTTTCGATCATATCTCTCATAATTTACAAAATTTATAATTTTAGCCAATTTATATAAAACCACTTTTTCATATGGTTAGTACGATGTCCTATCTTTTAACAATTTCTTTTATTGATTCCTTTTTATTAAAATGTAAGGGGTTGGAGCGACAGCTGTAGTGCATGCGGCGTTTTGCATTCCGCGACAAGAGAAATGCGCGATCAAGCGAATAAACTTGGAAAAATGGAACACAAACATGGACGAACTATTGGTGAGTTTTATTGTAATCTTGACACTGAACTTCACGCAGCGACGGATCAATATGACACACACTCGCACCTCTTTTGATAAGACTTATTATATTGTATGATTCATTGGATTAACGATCTTATTGATTACAACGTATGCTGCATCCAGCATGATGCAAGCTTTTCGTATTGAGCACAATATGCTGCTAATCATTCGTTTCTCAATGAAATGTTACTGTAATTCGAAAATATAATCTCGAGATTGATTTATCTTCGAATAAATTTTTTTTCACCAATAAGTTAAACTAGTAAATTTTACTTAACCATCTACGTATCTGCAATCAAATTTGACTTCCTTCGTCTGCAATCTACTAGATTTTTTAACTCAAATATTAAATTTATTAAAAAAAACATTTAATTTATTAAAAATTGAAATTTAAATAAAAATTTGTTTAAAAGGTATAATTTAGCAAGAGATGTTCGGATTCTTTTTTTACGTTCCTTCGGAGAAATTTTACAGTGAAATTTCGCTTATATCAAAAAAGACCCAAATTAAATAAAAGGTTAACGTACAGACAAGTAGTTGTTATTATTCGGGAGTTATTGTTAATTGAGACTTTTTATATGTCGAAATATTAGAAAGAGATACAGGCGATGTCTTCATGCAACCACGAAAACGTCGTGACGTACTACACGTCGTTCGTGGTGAAGGAGGAGCTCTGGTTGGTTCTAAGACTGCTAGAAGGCGGATCTCTGCTGGATATCATCAAACATAAAACCAGAACCACTAATTGCAAGCATGGAGTATTCGATGAGGCCACCATAGCCACGGTACTTCGAGAAGTACTCAAGGGACTCGAATATTTTCACAGTAACGGACAAATACATAGGTATTATGAAATACGTCTGTCTGTTGTCGTCCTATTTTTATTGAAAATACAATGTTGGAACATCCAATTGTTTTCTTTTTCTCAATGTATTATTTAATTATTAGAGTGCAATTGTATTATTCAAAAAAGCTATGAGTTTTACTACTTAGACTTAGAGAAATAAAAAAAAACCTGGAATTTTCAAGGAATTTTTAAAGATTTATCAGTATTCAGGGAATTTTTTTTTTTGGAATTTTTCTTTTAAATTTAGTATTGTCAAAATAGTTAAAATTTAGAATATATGATTTAATTAGTCGTTTAGAATATCATTCTTATTTATTTGACTCTTACAATGCCATTTTTATGTTTATCATTTTGTATAAAAAAAGAGCCCTTTAGTTTTTCTTAATTTTGTTTTAAATTCTATTTTTTTTTTTGGTAAATTATTTCTTTGGTCTCTTTTTTGTAGCCTTGTAAAGAATCCCTGAATCTTCTATTAATTTACAGTGTATAGTTTGTTTGCCTTATACTTACACTGCAGTTTATTTAAAGTTGCATTAAAATTCTAATCTCACTGGAATTTTGAATAAAAATATCTGGAAAATCCGGGAATTTTCAAGAGGAATTTTTTTTGTAAGATTTTAGTAAACATTCTACAGATATAACTCTTTTATTTTCTCTACGGATCTAGACAAATTTTAACGGCAGAATAATATTAGGGACATAAAAGCGGGTAATATCCTACTAGGCGAGGATGGCACAGTGCAGATCGCCGACTTTGGTGTCAGCGCGTGGCTCGCGACCGGACGTGATTTGAGCCGGCAGAAGGTCCGGCACACCTTCGTTGGTACGCCTTGTTGGATGGCGCCCGAGGTCATGGAGCAGGTGAGAGAGGAAAGTAACACTACAGACTTCTTAGCCTGCGTGTTCTCTATGTCTACATTTGTGTATGCGTTTGTTAAATGTACACGACACTTTATCAGGAAATGTATACGTTATCGTTGAAACGATACACAAACCTTGAATGCATCAGTGTCGGTTTTGCCATTGCGTGCGACATGCTTTTATCGTCTCGTTGAACCGAGAATTAATTTGAATTAGCAATCATGTTATTTTGTTGAGCATGCTCTGCGTTAGGCATGTTATATGCAAGTAACCACATAGAATATTGCACTGAAGATGTATTATGTTACGTTACACATTTTCAGAAAAGTTTCTCCAATGATATTTAATCAAGCATATGCTTTTTTTTTTTGTATATTTCTATACCATGTATGTATTGATCTGTACTATATTGTTATTTTATTTTATTTTGTCAAATTAGTTAATGCTACAGCACAGACTTTTGCATAACGTTGCATAAAGTAGCATATACAATAAAAGTTTTAAGTCTTAAGTGACACAAAAATATTGACCAATTATAATCGATCCTATTCTTCACGTTTTCAATTATGATTAATCAACTTCTCTTATGACTGAGACTTAAAATTTAAGTTTTATGCTTTAAAATTTCATTGTAGACGCCGTTTTATACGTTATATTAGTACTTTTATGTATGCTTGAAAAATATTCACGCAGCTCTAGATATTGATTGCACATCTCTTTTTATTTGATTTTTGTTAAATTTTATATACATACATATATATTGATTGGTAAAACGACTTTTTGAAAATTAGTAAAGATGTGCTTTTTTGCAGAAGAAAGTTTGACAATTGCCGTGTCGTGAGAAATCACAATATCAAATTGAAAAACTCAGAAACATATTTTCCGATAATGGCGAGCTACCCTGTATATGAGACTGCAGTTATAAATTACATTTAGAAGAATCTGGCAAGCATGCGACTTATGCAAGCACGATTTCATGAGATATTGGCAATCTCACATACTATCTGTTGTAGAATCAATTATGATATGCGTATCTGTTTGTGCAGGACCATGGCTACGATTTTAAGGCCGATATATGGTCACTTGGCATCACGGCGATCGAGATGGCAAGCGGCACAGCGCCGTATCACAAATATCCTCCGATGAAGGTCTTGATGCTGACGCTGCAAAACGATCCGCCGACTCTGGATACTGCTGCGGATGACAAGGACCAATACAAGGCGTACGGAAAAACATTCCGAAAAATGATTGTAGACTGTTTACAAAAAGATCCTACTAAGAGGTAAAGCACTCTCTTTCATTTACATTGCTATTTCTATTTGTCGAAACAGTTAGAATAGTTAGAGTAAATGAGTAACATGCTAGCTGTATTCGACTAACTTGAAGATAGTATTATATTAGAAACGAATAGAAAAGTGTATAAGATTATAAAATGTTTATTACAAATAATAATTTGCATACTTTTTCCAGACCAACAGCCACTGAGTTGTTAAAACATCCCTTTTTTAAAAAAGCCAAAGATAAAAAATATCTGCAGCAGACGTTAGTGGCGATTGGACCCAGTTTAGAAACACGTGTACAAAAGGTATATTTTTATATTAAGTATGCAATATATCTACGAATTTATACGTAATTATTTTCTATTGAGCTTTTACAAAAGTTACAATTGAAAAATTATGTTTAAGCATTATTAAGAAATATTAAGAAAAACTTACTTTTACAGGCATCAAAAAGACAACCTGGCACGTCAGGTCGTTTGCACCGAACGGTGACCGGAGAATGGGTCTGGTCGGAAGAAGAGAACAACGGCGACTCGAGCAGTGACGAAGGCAAAGAAACGTTACCGGTCAACACAATCGAAAAAGCTAGCAGCGACGAAGAAGCTGGCGAGCCTGACGAATGCTATGGTCAAATTAGGGTAGCACCGAGTCAAATGGCTTTGCCAGCGACCAGACAAAATACACCTATAAACTTGGTGCTTAGATTACGGTATGTGAAATCTAAGTGATAATATTTTCATCTTATAAATTTTTTATAGATGATCTGAATGTGCATCTTAAAAAATACGAGATAATCATTTCAAAATACTTTTTCAGAAATGAAAAACGAGAGCTAAATGATATTAGGTTTGATTTTACTGTCGGAGTTGACTCTGCACAAGGTATCGCAGCGGAATTGGTTGCTGCGGGTTTGGTTGATGGCAAGGACATTGTAGTGATAGAAACAAATTTAAAAAAGTTGATAGAGAGTGGAGGACAATTGAGAACAGTGACGTTTTCCTTGGTAAATAGATTTTTTGTTACTTTTAATTATCACAAACTAAAAATTAATATCAATTTTACGTTCGCATGATTTACGAGATAAAAAGTAGATGTGTACCACCAGGTCACAAAAGTTGAACTGAGCTATAGTAACAGTGTAGTTAACTTCATAATTTTTTAAATCTGGTACGCATCTACATTTTATTTTTAATTGTCAGGATGTGTGTATTATATATTATATATGTGTGTAATAATTAAAAATGTGCGTTTTCTACTATTTAATAATTTGATTATTAAATATAAGATTATTGTTTCTCTCTTCGTTACAGAACACTGGTTATGCGGTGAACGAAGTGCCAGATGACAAGGCGTTAATAGGATTTGCTCAGATCTCTATCACTGAATAAACAACCTCGATTGCGTTTTGAACTCTCGAGATAATGTTCTTAATTGATACATTCGCCAAGATTCAGAGAGTATTAAAAGCTAATGAATTGGCTAGATGCTATTTGTCAAACTATTTCACAATAAACTTTAGATAGTAAAAAGAAAATCTCGGCACATATATAGGAATAGGAGTTGCTTGTAATACCGTTACTATTACTTTCTTATAGTAACGATTTAATAATATATTGTAAATAACATTACAATTACACTTATAAATACTAAACGGTAACGATAACTCCATTGGAAAAAATCACTTTTGAAAAATAACTTATTACCACACACATTACGTGTTGCTTGTTAAAAAAAAAAGCGCATTAGTAACTCTTTACATTACTCGTTATATATCGAGTAAAACGTTACTAATGCGTTACTCGTTACATAATGATTAAAGTAACAAGTTATTTTTGAATGAATAATAAGTAACAATGACGAATTACTTCTCAAAACTCAAAAGTTTCCAAGCCTGGTGTTATCATGAAAAATTGTCATTACCAAATTATATATTATTATAAAAACAATAACGGGAGAGTAACGACATTACAAGTAACGCATTACTTTTCATCTTTACAAAACGTGTAACACAATCTGATTGGTAAATGTATATCAGTAGGTTTTAGCTTTTGATACTTTCGCTTCTTTCAAATTTTAATAGTTTATTGCAGAGCATAGATATTCGAAAAACACATTTATTACAACACATCGGTAGTAATAAACTGCTCAAGTGTGTCTGATAACATTGTCAATGTCATGAGGACAATCGAACGAGGCGAATACATAAAAACATTATCATCCATGTATTGGCTTAAGGGTATACACTTACTCTAATCAATAATGGCTGTAGTTTTACATAACCAAATTGTATCATTCGTATTGCGTCAGTTATGTAAATATTAGTATTCGACCGATCATTTTTTCTTTCTTTTTTTCTTTGTGGTTAATATATCAAACGGGATAAAGATTGCGAAATGCAAAATTTCGTATAAATAAGAGCAAACTTAGAAGATCGTGAGAAAAAGAGAGAGAAAAAAGAGAAAATACTTGATAGTTTAACTTATTCGTTCAAAATATAAGCAGTTTCTCTTGAATAGCAAGATTTTAGTTACATAAAGAAATTAATTGAATATGCTGCACAGTCATCATGTTTATGTATCATATACAAATTAGCTGCTCTATATATATTATATATATATAAATATATACATATACGTTTATATGTATATATATGCCTCATGCTAGAAAAAAAAAATAGGCAATGTTGAAATAAAACTCTTTTGTACTTAATTAAATAGACTTACGATAGAGAGCAAATTAATATTTTCACAGTTTTTAGACGTAACGAAAAAAAAAGTTGATCGGAAAATTTTTACTTTGTACGTCTTGAAAATTTTTAAATTAATCTTTTTGTGAAATACTTCTTAAAATGGATAAAATCAGAATCACGTAAATGTAGCAAAATGACAATGGAAAAGGCGATTCACATTGTGTGTTCACAATTTATAAATTTTCTTTTATAAATTGTGAAGATATACATACATATAACTTTACGTTATGTTGTCTTTTGTTGTTCTTACAGATTGTTAAAGTATAAAACATTTTATAAGATTTAAAAAAATATTTTTTTTTTTTTAATGGAATTAATTTTTTAAATGAATCTTATGAGATATTTTAAATTTCATTATATTCTATAGAAATGAATAGTAATTTTATTTGTGATGCATGTGTATACCACAGTTAAAAATAAAATCAAAACATTAAATGAACATTGTTATAATAATGTGATTCTGTATTTTATCAATTTTTTTTACACAACCTGCAGCGTTGATCGCATTAGAGTATATGGTAAAGGATCCATAATTTCCATTATTATGCAAAAATATATACATATACTATTTTCGTGAATTTCGCTATTAAATTATTATTAACGAGTAGGGTTTTTAACAATCGAAAATTCGTGCGACTTCACATTTCCTTTGCCATATTGTAACAATTATACACATACACATACGCTCGCGCGCAATGCTAAATCTGCGACATACAATATGCTGAGTAAAATCAGTTGTAGTAATAATCGAAATACAAATCTGTTGATATACATGTGATGATTATATATACATATTCTCCGTACTAAAAGTCAGCTGTGTGGTTTAATTAGGCGACACATTTTACGCGAGGAGTAAATATAGTTACTTTTAAGCCGCAGATGATAATCGTACGCTAGTTTAAGTAGATTTTTACGGATAGTTGTATTTGATGGCACTATATATCCCGATAGCACTTCTGAATTTTTGCACTACGTTTCGCCGGCATTGAGATTTGACATAGCTTGCGCACCTCACTATGTGCCTTATCCGAAGAACGCATCGATCATATCGAAATCTGTGTTTTCATCACAGTTACCGAACTTGCAATTCAAGAATTTCACATAGGGATCGGGATCTTTTACGACTAAAGCAGTGCCAAATCGAGTGTGTTGTACGTAGCGATTATAAATGTGTATCAAGACAAAAAAAAACGGTAATTTATTTGTATCAATATCAAACGTCGTTTTGCCAATGAGAACCATTGTACGTTATTTCATCGTAAGTCTACAATGATTATGTAAAGAAAGCTGCGGACTGCGGCAGCCGAGAACGGGTAATGGTACTTAACGATAAAAGAAAAAAAAATTCCTCCGTGAGCCTTGTCAGAAGATATTTTATGTTTCTGAGCAAACGTTGCCATTATTGAATTTCGAGCAATAAATTATGTTCTTCATAAACAAATTCTTCGAACGCTAAATTTCAGACAAGAATTCCGCAAGGTGTAAGGTGAAATTTGTTCCTGAATTCAAAACCATAGATGGTGTAGATACTGCAAAAGTAGTTCGTGAGTTTTCACTTTAATGTTTCGTCTTTATGTCGAAAATTCAAAAAGGAGGGTAGTCGAGAGTTTTTCGACCACTTGGGGATTGTTTTATTTTTATGATTTCTTATGTATTTCTCTCTTCGTAGAAACCGAAAATAATCATAATAACGCCAGACTAAAGGAAAAATTGGTACATTGAAATATAATTTTTTAGAAAATTTGTTTAATTTCTTGTACAAATTGGAATACTTTAGAAGTAAATCGAGATAATCTACGTTTTTTCAAAAACCTTTTTGTATATAGGGTGTTTCTCGAATCGGTCGCAATAATTTTTCAGCTATCTCCGATGGGTTAACGACGAAATGTTTTTAATAAAAGTTGTTTCTAGTTAAAATCTTATATGAAAACAATTTAAGTATTTTTTCGGAAATTATAGAATGAAAAAATTTAAAATATTTCAAAATTTACACAAAAAATTCTAAGAAAAAGGTTTTACTTCTGAAAAGTGTTTCAGTTTGTATAAAAAACTTAGATAATGATATTTATTTTTGGAATATTAATGTTCTCGGATAGCACAACAAAATTAATTCATTTTAACTTAATTAAAAAGATTTTACTTTTAAAGTGCTTTATAAATAAATTAGCATCTAATTTGTTTGTAAAATGAACTAAAGAAAAATTCAAAAATATATTTATATGCATTTACATGTTACTTTTAATAAAAGTAATATATTTAATTTACGCAAAAGTTAAAATATGTATTTAATATACAAAATTAAGAAATAGAAAAAATCTTCACAAAAAAAATGCCTTTTAAACCTGAAAAAGAGCTCATGATTGACTCTTAAGAACGCATTAAACAGAAATAGGACGAAACAGGAATTCATTTCGCAAGTCGAGAATAAAATAAGATTTCTTTTCGCGCGGACTCGGTATTATCTGAGTCGTTATAATTAATAAATTTAATTAGAAGAATTTAAAAGTTTAAACAATCTCAAGACTCAATATCTTGCTTTATTTCATATTTTAAATCGCTGTATTTTCCAAATATAGAAAAATATAATCGTTCACAACCTATCTTGAGCACACTTGCTGTTGCGCACGTGTCATACATATGTCAATATCCTATTCTAACCTAATCTAACCTTAATCCAACCTGCCTCCCAGTTGCGGTCGATCAGCTGATTCGCAGAATTGATTGTTGACATTTCCAGTTGTTCGTGGGTATTATAAATTTCAGAATTATCTCGTCATTGTCAAACGAGATAGCCAGCTTACAGCAAAATGTCATCAAGGATTGAAGGTGTTATAATGCGAACGGAGACGAAACGTGAGAAGTGTAATTGAAGTCCCGGCAAACCCGATCTTCTTTCGATATTTATTTTATATTTTTAAATTACATGAGTATGTAATTCATATATTGCAACTCCGAGATCGAAGGTGTTCCAGTTACGGTGTACTGGCCGTGCGAATTTATGAGGAGTCTGCTAACAGAGGAACTGCATCAGAAGATTTACCAAGTGCGGACGTTAAAATTTTGAGAACTTTTGACGAAACTAATCAACTTAATATAGGTAATAATTTTTAACAAAGTTTTATATTTATTTCACGACGTTTATCCGATTTATTTGTAGAAGATTGGAAGGAAAGAATCCGAAAGAATTCATTGTTCCTAGCCATATCTCCGAGTGAGAAGATTCGAGGTCTGGTTGTGCGAATTTGCGAGGAGGAATTTGACAGACGCGCTCCAGTGGTTTCCCCCCACGGCGCTGCCCGAACTCTTACTTATGACACATTTGCGACTCGATCTCATGCCCAAACTGCAGTCGATCACGCGGTGGAGGTTCCCCGTGCGGGCAAACGTCATCGTGTTCCTGTTCACGGCAGTCTTTATCTTCCTGTGCATGCGCTACCTGCCAGAGCGGAAATGTCAACCGGATGAACATACTCTGCGAGGGAACAAGCCCAAGTACCGGCTGATCGCCCTGATCCTGAGCAACCCGGATAACCTGGAGCGCCGTAATACCATCAGGAAGACCTGGTTGGCCGAAAGTGACGCCACGGTGAAGCACTTCTTCGTCGTCGGTACCCAGGATATCTTGCCAGAGCAGAGGAATACTCTGCAATCAGAAAAGCAGAAGTTCGATGATCTGCTACTGTTGCCCAGGCTGCAGGACTCTTATGGCACACTGACGAAGAAGGTAACAGTTTTCCAGGTTTTATTAGTTTTATTTTATATTCCAGATAGCACACATGATATTCTGAGGATACTTTGAGGATGTTTTAATTATTGCTCTCAAGCAAGAAATGAGTGGAAATAATAACATCCTGAATATATCTTGTGACATTTTCAGAATGTCTTGAAAATATCATGTACTACCTGGGATGTCTATTTAATCCGTTCCTGATTTTATTGGAGCCATGTTCAAAAAGTTTTTTGAATTCAGTTCATGCGTTTTTAAATAAATAATATTTATACTAAACAATTAACTTCTTTTCAAAATTTTGACTATTTTTCCAACATATACATATTATTGTATGCATCAGATTTCAGATAATGTCGATAGAATTATAATAAATAATTTCAACTTGGCTTATATTTGCATTATCCTATGTTAATTAGACACGTTATAAACAATATCATACAAATTTAAGGACTAATAAGAATAAATCTAATTAAATAAGATTTTGGCATGCACGTTGCAGAATCAGAATATGTATTTAAATTCACGCAGAAATATTTAAGCACTAAGGTTCGCTTTGACTGAATATAAGAATTCTCTTATTTAATTATAATTACTACTTCTTTGTACAATATACAATTGATTTATTAATTTCAAATTGTCAGTCATCGTACTCAATAATATTGTTATTGTTATTTTTATTATAAGGTTCTCTACACCCTGAAAGCCGTCCACGAGCATTATGACTTTGACTACTTGCTGAAATGCGACGATGACTCGTACGTGGTGGTGCACAAGCTTCTGAAGGAGCTCGACAAGTGGCAGAGCAAGGGCACCAGGCGAGAACTCTATTGGGGCTTCTTTAACGGACGGGCGCAAGTGAAGAGAAGCGGTCCCTGGAAGGAAACCGATTGGATCCTGTGTGATCATTATCTCCCTTACGCCGTAGGAGGCGGATACGTTTTATCTTACAATCTCATCGAGTTTATCGCAAAGAACGCAGACATCCTTAAGTGAGTATGGCTGTGAATTATGTACAAAATACTCTGTATTTAATGTATACTTTGATGTAAAATTTTCTTAGATTTCTTCATATATTTTTCAGAATTTCTATATAACTTTTTACGATTTAACTAATACGAAGCTTGTAACAGTCTAGCTGGATCTTAGTTGCTTATATATAATTTCGCGTGAATTTATATATTGATATATGTAGTCTTTCTAAACTGCGCGCCGAACAATTGTCGATCTTGGAACGCAACTTTAATAAACTATCGCAGTACTATAACGAATTAAATTGATTAACATTTTAATAATTTGATGCTCTTTTGGCATCTTACATCGATCTTTAACAACATTAAAATCGGAAAATAATAATTCTTACTACCTCAAAAAATATTACCTCAGCCAGGAATCGAACCCGGATTTCTCATTTTACGCGCAAGTGTCCTAGCCAATTAGATTACAGAGGCTTTTTTACAATTCTTTTTTTTTAAAAGTTTTTAGAATTTTTATATGAATTGAAACTTTTTAAAAGTGCTGGAAAAGAGTACAGATTTTCTAAAATATATGTAAATTCTTTTCTAACATCTTTATATCTGTAAAATATTCTAAGACTTTTAAGATTCTTCATTTTATTTTTGAAGTTAGCTTGTAAATTCTGTTAAAATTTAAAATGTTTTTTTTTTTCAGAAATTTTCATAATTTTAGCATAAAAATATTATGAAAACTTTTTTATCAGTGTTCCGTGCGTGTTGAGACATTTAATTTAAAAATTATAAATTTTGAATTTATTATGATTTACACGCAATGTGTATTCTACTAGGATTTCTGCGAAAATACTTTAAACTATTTTAGAGTTTACAAGTGAAGTTGTCTTCAGAAAAAGTATAAAGTGAAAAATCTTAGATAATATTCACAATTTATGAAGAAGTCTAAAAGATTTAGACTTTCTCAATTTTGAAAAATATATCAATATACATATAAAACAATCTAGAAAATGTTCTAAAAAGTTATAAAATTATTCCAAAAAGTTATAAAATTATTCCAAAAATTCTGAAGAATTATATGAAGAATTCTAACAATTTTTCACAAACTTTATATATACACCCCAGTCTTAATTTTTTCCTTGCTATTTTTCTTTTCAATTCATGCACATCTGCACAATTCTAGACTGCAGAATTCCGAAGATGTCTCCGTCGGCCTCTGGCTAGCACCGCTGGCGAACATCGAGAGAAAGCACGACGTACGCTTCGATACGGAATACAGATCGCGCGGTTGTTCCAATCAGTACATAGTCACGCACAAACTTACGGTCCAGAATATGCTGAGTATGCACGACTATTACCAAGTCTCCTTAGGCGCACTGTGTCCTAAAGAATTCAGAAATCGCATGAGTTATCATTATAATTGGACCGTACCACCTAGTCAGTGCTGCAACAGACAATCTGGTATCCCTTAGCTCAAAAGGGAGATTCTTACAACGTTCTAGTCGAGTTTTTTAATATTTGGTCAGAAAACATGTTTAGCTCACGTACATTTGTAACGGCTATAAGCTTTCTATTTATATTCTAACTTAGATCTTTATTAGGATATCAAATATATATTGATATTAAATGCCGTGAGAATATAGCCGTTTCTAAAAATAGGCAATTCAAACAGTATTATTGCGAAAATTTATAGCAAAATCGCGATATTTCTTCGAAAGAATTAAATCGACTGCAATCTGGATTTTATTCATTACTCTAGTATAATTGTACGACAGTGCTATTAAATAATTAATTGAAAACGTTTGTAAATATATTTTGTAAATATTTAGCGATGAAAAGGTAGACGTAGGTAAAATAAGTTTCGATAAACTAAATATATTTTTTTTAATTATATTGCTATACTTCGTTTATAATACACTTTTCATCATCAACAGGAATTTACTTCATGTATATAAAGCGATGTAGTACATCCTTAACGTATAAAAACAATAACGTTAATTTAATATATATATATAATATATGATATATAATATATATGTATATATATATATATTATATATATATATCAATACATACATCGATAGTACGTATATCGATATATGTATACATCTGCACACAGTGCGTGTTAAAAGTACCGAAACGGCTTATATGTGTGTATGTGTGTGTAATAGTCTTAGGCCGGTATTTATAGTCAATTCTTATATTCAAGATCATCTTAAATACAGTCTTAAGATGTCACGAACCAATCAAAGGGCTGCATTCGCGTCTTAAGACATTACTTAAGACAGTCTTCAAATAAGAACTGACTATGAATACCGGCCTTAGTGAGTGAAATCACAGATATATTCGAGAAACGGCCGTGGAAAAAAGTAAAAATGTAAAGCACGATTTGCATCATCAATAATAAATTACTATTTTAATATATAACATAATATGTTATGAAGCAATAGCGAAACGATGGCCGATTCTCAAAACGTTTTCCCTCTGTGATGGGTTTACATTCGAACTGTGCTTCCATTACATCTAAAATTAATAATAAAAATTTACTTATGATGTATAAATCAATAATACAATTTTATTTATATATATGTATCATCCATTTAATACATAGATACTTTAAAAAATAAAATCTTAAATCTCACTATATATATATACGAATTATTATCGCTTCAATAGGTTCTTTTTAATATAAAAAAAACCCGCGCAATGTAATTCTCTAGTGATAAGGAAATTTAAATTTATTACAACGAACGTATCATTTCTGGAAAAATCATTTACGGACATTATTATAATAATAAGTGGATATGTGTTGTGTACTACATATTATTACACGTTATTACATTTATTATTACACGCGTCACACAAAAATTAAAAAAATTACTTTATTATTAGTATTAGATGCAAATGGAAATGCAGTTCTACTTTGTCTTTCTCTCTCTCTCCTCTCTCTCTCTCTCTCTCTCTCTCTCTCTCTCTCTCTCTCTCTCTCGCATGTACACATGCGCGCGTGCATCTTATAAAATTTCTATCATTTTTTTATATAAAAAAGTTGATTTACTTTCAATATGAAACAATTTTGCACTAATCTCTTCTTCAAATAATCAATAGATTTATTTCTGCGGTTTATTTCTTTTTACGGTCTTGTGTACATTTGGGACAATACCATTTTCCTTTAGGTTTTGTTGTTAAACCCACACAGGCAAAATGGAACCATTCTATAGGGCACTAAAATGAAAAAGAAAAAAAGAATTAATTATCTTGATTCTGTGATATCAATAATTACAATAAAAATTTAAAAGAATAAGTATCAAACAAAGTTTCGTTTGTTTAATTTTTAATAGATATTGCTGTAAAGAAATTTAAACAAAACTTACATCTGGATTATCACAACCAATCATTTCTCCATATGATACTTGATGACAAAGACAGTAAGTTGGTTCGTTAGGATCGACAGGCATGTCAAGAACATCGGCTGGATGACCGAGTGCTGTTGCATCTACCTGGGCGCTGCTTCCCACAGCGCCGGTGGACGATGCAGAAGCTACAGAACCACCTGATATAAAAAAATATACATATATATATACATTTATATAATAAGAGATAATGAATTTAATATTTAAAAAGTTATAAAATTATATAACAAGTTATCATTATATAACTTGATTAACGTACCCTTCTTCTGTTTCTTTCTCGCATTCTTGGCCTCATCCTCACTGCTAACTACGGTACCCTTCTTTCTCTTTTCCTTCTCCTTGAGCTTCTTCCTACCTTTTTTACTAGCGTTGCTCTCCTCCTGCGCTCTATTGCTATTCAATGTTTTGTCCTGTATCTCGGCCTCAAATCTTGCCAAATCTGAATCTAGTCGTCTGATGTGCTTATCAACTAATTCATAAGTTTGAATAGCTAGTTGGACCTTGTCATCTCCGTATTCTTTAGCCTTGTTAAAGAGACTTTGTATATGAGCAAGTTGTTCTTTTTTCTTTTCTGGTGTTTCCTTCTTCGTAGTCCTCAAATAATCATCTGCCAGTTTATCAATATCTTTCATAAGACCCTGAGCTCTAGCATCTAAGTCACGCATTAGTGTAAAATTCCTCTGTAATTCGATTGGTAAATGCTCGAGGCCTGCAACGCACATAAGTGCGAATCAAATATAAGTAGTCATCTCCAAAACTATAACTATACAGAATTAATTTGAATGACACAGTATTATTTGAGAAACTTCTAGTCGATAAACTTCTGTAGCTTAATATAAATAGTCAATAATATAAGAAAAAAATTTGTTTTCAAATAAAACAGGTCATTTTTGTAGAAAGAGAAAGAAAACATCAATGGCATTAAAAATTGATATTTTCGTAAGTAAATAATCACTACTGTTCTTTTATTTCCTAATTTGGACTATTATAAATGTAAAAATGTTAACGTAAAATAAATATTTTATTTAACTGTATTAGCAATGCTATTATAAATATAACACAGCAATTATAATATCAAAGAATGCCAAAAACAATCAAACTTCCTGAAGTCATTTAAACTATTGTTGTAATTGTTTATAAAATTAAAAAAATCATTTGAGATATCAATAGATATTGCAAATTATCATTGAAAGTATGCACAGAGGCGATTTTTTTTTACTTTATAAGTAACTATAATAGCGATTCAAATGACCTCAAGATATTAAATTGTCTTTTTGATACTTCTTAATAATATAGTTGCTAATGTTAAATTAAGAATTGTTAACAAAGCTTAAATAAAATATATTCTTAAATATACCATATACTTCAATACTTTTATAACAGTTCAAAATGAAAATTCGGAAGTAAAAAATAATAGTGATTACTTATTTTTGAAAATATCATTTTGTAATATGGCACTTATATTTTCTAAAAAAATAATCTCTTTGTCCAATTTAAAAAAAACGATCTTTTTTTTTATTAATGACTACTTACATTGAGTTATAGAGTAAAATTTTTCTAACAATCTGTCAACAAATATTCAGATAATAGTACGATATTGAAATTAAGAAGGTTCTTATTCTGACTATTTCCTAGTCACAATAGAATAAAAAGATTACCAGCAATATCTTATGCCATTGTATATAATTATTAATTTCATATGTTACTCTAAATATTTTTTTAATTTTAAAATAAAAATTATAAAATGCTTATTGATATATACAAGTATCATTCATTTGACACATATTCTTGTTTTTTTTTCATTAAAGAATATAATTTCTTTCAAACTGTACAATCAGTTTAAATGAAACTTTATAAGAACATACTCAAATGTTTATTTTATAGTTATAACGAATTTTAAATTGCTGTCTTAGACGCAGAATAAGATTATATCTTCAACTTGTAATAAATAATAAAATTCTGTAAATTTAGAAATAAATATCTTTAAAATGATACACCAAAAGTTAATGAAATTTTTTTCTAGATATTAATATTATTAACTTGTGTATTATTGACTTATCTTATATTTCATTGAACGCAAAAATCTCCTTAATTTTCTCTTGTTTAGTTATGACAATAATTACTTTAAATTGCCTGTACATCGATTTTAAACAATAGCTGCGTTCAGAGAAAATTAATCAGTTAGTGCTTAGTGATTCTTCAATGTAATTAGTCCTTGTCTTTAGTTCTTCGCTGGATTAAATGTACTAATCATCATAAAGAATCACCAAGCGTTAACTAATTAGTTTTCTCTGCTAAGTATAGCCAATACTAACTAAACGAGACTACTATGCATGTTTATTATATGCTGGTATATTTAAAGGAACTATTCTTTGACTCCACTGGATTACAATAAAATTTTCTATTTAATTTTTGTCAAATATTTCATATATACACCTATCAAGTACAGCGAGTGTGCAATATTTTATTTATAAAAAAAAAATACTAAAACAAAAATTGCTTAAAAACTAAAACAAAAAGCAGTCTGATTTTCAATACATAGTTTAATTTATCTCAAAAATTGAATGAAATAATAGAAAGCACTTTAATTGCATATAAATTAAACAATAATTAATACGTTGAGAATGGCGAATAAGAGTCAATCTAAATCTGATAATATATTCTAATATTCTATATTGCGAAGAATATCACGTAATGTTTGGCGTTTCGTCCCGGCTTGCAACAATTAAGAAGAGGGGACATTTAAAAAATCAGATTATTTGGGGGGACTATATATAATTAGAACGTTATTTCTCACTTTGGATAAATATTGCGAAGAATATTACTACGTCGACCCGCCATCAGAGGTCTATCGATATTCGCAAATTCTCGCAAGTGCTGAGACACGCGTATATCTCTTTATATAGAATCTCGATTTAATAACTTACACCGGCGTCTAAGGTAGGCTTCCACTACAATACCTTACTGATGAGTCCAGTAGTGGAAGCCGGGACGAAACGCCAAACATTACGTGATATTCTTCGCAATATAGAATATTAGAATATATTATCAGATTTAGATTGACTCTTATTCGCCATTCTCAACGTATTAATTATTGTTTATAAAAAGAGTCCTTTATTTCTTCAATTATATAAATTAAACTTATATAAACACAATAAACAATATATCTCTCAAGATCTAAAAAACATGTTAGAAGTTATTTTTTCCTCAATTTTTATTTTTAAAAAAGTTAGATTACGAATATAACAAAGCGAATGTCAAATCCTTCGGACACTAACATAAAGTGTCTTTCTATCATTTCAAACTTTCATTGAAAGATAATAGTTATTTTGCAATGCAAACGAGCAAACAAAAATTTTAGAACATATAGAAAAATTCAGATGGGAGAAAAAGATAGAATCAAGTAAATAAAAGTAACAAATAGAACACATTTACACTCCATTATCTTCCACATTTTCTTACTATACCTTTATTCTCCTCTCGAAGAATAAAAATGTAAAAATTTGATAAAATAAGATAGGACGTATACGTACAACTCCAATACTCACTGTCGAGATAATGCTCCAAATATAACGCGGTCGTCATGGCGATAGTGTCGTATCTTCATGTAAACAAAAGGTATTGTATAAATAATTAATTTCTTTACGAAATGATCAACGAGAAACAACGGTAAGATAAAAATTTGTTCAACTGAAAACGATCCTGGATAACGGAATCAGTAATGGAAAACACGACAGCCATGATGACTACCAACCACAGACAGTAAGAATCATGGTGTAAGGAAACAAGGTGAACCATCGCGCACGATGAGTGGGAGGTATAATGGCGGCTTTTACTTGAACCAATAAGCGCTCAACTTTGGTATAGGCGGCAATTCCAGCAAATTCAAATGGAGGAAAAGGGGAAAAAAATAGGAAAGAAAATAAAAAAGCAAGAAAAAAATAGGGAAGAAAATAGGATAGTTTACTATACCTGTAACTTCTTCAATTTTTCATGAAATGCATCACTTAACCAGGTCTTGAGTTACGTCTGACTCTGAATAACATAAAAAAGTGAATTTCACCAGATCACATATCTTCGAAGATGAGAAAAGGCTAAAACAAAAAGAGACTAAAATTGAGTTGCGACAACAGTTTACCATAGAAAATCAAATGTGTTACTTTATGTTTTCCATGAAATTTTTATTAACACAGGTTTCAAACATATTTTTCACCCATAATTACGTAAAAATCACAACATTGAATATGTTGAAGCATATTGCAGGCCTACAACACGAATAAATGTACTTTACCACCCGACTAAAGTGCCCAACTGTACAGCTAATGCGACTATTAATAGGGTCGGTGTGATCCTTATAAATATATATCTATTTCTTCTACTCTTCAAACACATACATGAATTAGAAGAAATAAATATAATCATATACGGAACGTGTTTAATAAATTAAGAAAAAATCACTACGAACAATAACATTTTGCCATTTAACCGAAGGCTTCTTTCATTTTATTCAAGTACGCGTTTTTCAAGCATATTCTTTTTATGAGCACACATAATATTTTTTTTGCTTTTATTCAATAATTTATATTATAAATAAATGTAATTCTTCAATTCAAAATGTATATATGCCATTGCGTAACAGATAACTTTGTCAATTTTCGCTATAAGTTAACCTTAAAATCAGACTTTCGAAATTTCATATTATTATCATAATAATAATAATAATAATAATAATTTTAGCGTGTATTTCATCTTTCATACATATATTATGAATTTGTAAAACATATAATACAATTAATACATGTGCAATAATTTTTACTAACCAACTTCTCCAAGAGCACTTATCAAATTTTCAATAAAAACAGAACAATTAACAATAATTAACAATAACCACAAAACAATAACAATAACGATAAAATGCTATTAACAGCTTATCAACCAATGGCTAATGTAAATAATTAATATTTCCTACTAATCCGGATTCGCGGCAATTTGACAGCTACACTGAAAAAAATCGCGCTCGCTGCCATCTTCAATTTCAGTGACCAAAGTGAGGCGTTGATTGGCTGGCGCTATTTGCCACGGGACTTGGTCACCTTGTTTCCTTACACCATGGAACAGAGTATAATAAAAAAAATACATAAATACATAAATTACAATGTAATTTTACGATTTTTGTTCACACTGCTTGTCCATTTCCAATTTTGAATGTCGGATCTATTTCTACAATTCGGTACACAACATTGCACCATTTTAATTTCAAGATATTATGTGAGAGCTAAGCCGAGAAAAAATGTCAGGACTTCACCGGTGCTGAGACTTGAACCCAGTTAGAGGTTAGAGTTGCATGCACATATATCACACTTGTCACTTGCGCATGCGTACAATATGCCAATCAGATAAAAAAGCTCATTGAGCGCTTAGTGAACGGTCGTGCTTTTGGATGCACCTAATGTCAGGACTTCACCGGTGCTGAGACTTGAATCCAGTTAGAGGTTAGAGTTGCATGCACAATTATATTATACTTGTCACTTGCGCATGCGTACAATAACAGCCAAAAAGCATTTAATTAAGTTGAAAACTCGGCGACGTGTATTTGTGCGTAGCGATATAAATGCGAAAGAAAACTCGCTGAGAATGTGTTTTTGCTGTCAGAGGGATACATTCTCGCGATGAATTTCTCTTTCTTTCTCCGTATTTTTTACAATTATATATCTTTTGTAAAAATGTAATTAAATATACATTTGAGTTATTTACGCGATTTTTGTATGACGTACAATGCGTTTCGTTAAAAAATTAAAGACAGGTCCCATAATTTTATCAATGTAAAATGTTATACAATTTTGTGTGAACTAAAAATTGCAAAAATTTAAATAAAATATTAAGTATCTCTTGTACCTGTTTGGTTTATATATTTAGATCTAATAGAATATGCCAATCAGATAAAAAAGCTCATTGAGCGCTTAGTGAACGGTCGTGCTTTTGGATGCACCTAATGTCAGGACTTCACCGGTGCTGAGACTTGAATCCAGTTAGAGGTTAGAGTTGCATGCACAATTATATTATACTTGTCACTTGCGCATGCGTACAATAACAGCCAATCAGACTTAGGCATGTATTACCTCGTCGCACCGTCCCGCAGTGGCTTCCTCCCCGCAACGTTATGCTCTGTCCCTATATTTCTATGTCCATGATTTTCTAGGTCTCTATCCATGGTTATGTCAAAGGCTGTTATGCCTGGTTTATGTTTCAGGTCTTAATCCCAAGATCCTAAAATTCAACCAATAAAGCTGCCAGTTCTAACCGAAATTTGAACTCTATTGGCTGAATTTTAGGATTAAGTCCTTAAGACCGAAGCATAAACCAGGCATTACTTTATTTTGAAGCGCCCCTTATGTCCACAAAACGTTGACATTGAACTATGTAGCTAATGTCTACGATCGTGTCGGTAATTGTCCACGATTTTTTGGTTCGAGTCTTCGCAGACTTCTCTCTGTTAGTACAGACACGCATCACATCCTTGTTTGACGCTATAATTTTATCGACAGTTTCGCCACGCAGAATGGGTATCTAGTTCCCATATCACAAAAATAAACGCTAGTATACATTATATAAAAAAAAAAGCCGAGATGATCGCTCTCAGATTTCGCTTGCTATGCAGAGATGAATTAAGGGGAGAGAAAGAGAAAGATAGTGATAGTGATTGAACACAAGGTAAAATAGAGGAAAAATTATACAAGAAACTGCAAGAAACGCACATTTTACGGATTGAAGCTTGACTTTGATGGACGAGTTCAGACATGAAATTTTTCGAATTATGTGCTCATCCATGATTTTCTTTCGTAATATTTTACCTGTTTGGTGTTTTGTTGTGCCGGTTGCCGCGTTTTTGCCTGATGCTGCATAGGAAGTGATGGTGGAACGATGGCTGAATTTCACAGGTAACGCGCCAAATGCTCCCTCGCGTGCATTTAATTAAGTTGAAAACTCGGCGACGTGTATTTGTGCGTAGCGATATAAATGCGAAAGAAAACTCGCTGAGAATGTGTTTTTGCTGTCAGAGGGATACATTCTCGCGATGAATTTCTCTTTCTTTCTCCGTATTTTTTACAATTATATATCTTTTGTAAAAATGTAATTAAATATACATTTGAGTTATTTACGCGATTTTTGTATGACGTACAATGCGTTTCGTTAAAAAATTAAAGACAGGTCCCATAATTTTATCAATGTAAAATGTTATACAATTTTGTGTGAACTAAAAATTGCAAAAATTTAAATAAAATATTAAGTATAAGTATTTACTTTGACCAAATACAAAAAATGAAATAAAAATGTTTTTGCTCATTTATACTATATGATTTTATCATATATTTGTTTAATCTTGTTTATTTAATTTCAGCCTATACATTGAAAACCCATCAGAGAACTTCTGAAACACATGGCTGACGAGAACTCTTCTGATTACCGTACATCTTGTACGGAAGATAATGATGAGATCGAGGGCCTTAATGAAAAACTGATACAACTGTTGTCTTCGCCAAAGTTCTTTTCTCCGGAATCCAAGAGTCCGCTGTGCGACATTAGATTAGATAACAATAGTGGTTCTAATATAGACTCTAAGGCATTTGGTTCTTTATCGTTCAGTCATTGCAGACATGACTGCTCTCTTTTGTGTTATGATAGCCCAGCTAAGATGTCGAGTACATCGAATCATCTTCCACCCATTGGCGTATTTTGGGACATCGAGAATTGTCAGGTTGAGTTTGATATAATCTCTTCTTTGAGCAAAAAAGTTTATCTTGTTTTATCACCCAGATAATAGGTCTGTGGTTGAACTGTGGTCTTCTGTTCTTTTATCTATATCTCTTATCTAAACATTTTACACGATTTATCTTACCTCTTTCCGCCTGGAAAAAAAGAGAATAAATGAATTGAAGAAGTTCAGCTAAAAATGATCTTCTAATGTACCATACACTTATTATATTTGGAAAATGATAAATAATTCGTTTTTTTTGCTGAGTTTCTTACACAGTTTACCTTTTTTCCTTTCTTTTCACTTTAGGCTGAGTCCACAACCTTGCTTTAAGAAGCCGTAAGAAATTGACCAATCACAGTCGATTATTTTTCTCGCATTCAACTATGATTGGTCAATTTCTTAAGGCTTTATGGCTTAGGGTTTCTTAAAGCAAGGTTGTGGACCCAGTTTTAGAAGAGAAAAGGAAAAGATGTACTACGTAAGAAATTCAGCCAAAAAGAACAGATTTATATAGATGTACAGAGGATGTCTTGTAAAGACTTGTAATAACGTTTAAGAGTTGATTCCTAACATCATTTTGAGACAACAAATCTAATATCAAAGTCATGTCACAACTACAATTATTTTTAAATTATGTGCATTAAAATTATTGAATCATACTGCCTAAAGTTTGCACATTTAGATATGACACAAGTAGGATTGCCATCCATTCTCTTTTTTCTGGACGTTCTTTTTTCTTGTCCTCTTTTTGGGCGTCCACGGATATCTAGGGAGATTTTCTAAAGGTGACTGAATATATAGGGCTGCGTTCAAAAACCACCCGAGTGCTCCTGTATATCATTTTATCCTTGGTGTCCAACCATGGTCTAGTTTACATCATGCAATTGATACGAGTACTAACCAGTAACTTTCTATTGAATTATCTTAGTTTCAGCATTATGTATAAACATATACATGATATGTGTATTTAATTAATTATTTTGAT